CGAGACTGACCTAAGTTCATATTCATCGTGTTATTGTAAGATAAAAACATAAATCTAACCATATTACTATAAGATACCAAAAGGATAAAATTTCCCCCCATTCAATTATTGTAATGGTTATGTATTCAATATGGGAGTCGGTGAGTGCAAAGGCAAACATCACACTTGTTCATTGTCGAAACAAAATCAGGTCTAACAGACGCGTGCACTAATGATTTATGGGTTCAGGCCCTTCCCATGCATATCTGTAAATTCCGTATTTTAGTTTCAGTTTTCAACTTAAAAAACAAAATTAATATATAAAGAAAAACGAAATTATTAAAAGTAGAAAAGGAAATTATTAAATAAAGGAAAACAAAATGATTTATTTAATAATTTCTTTTTTCTTTATATATTAATTTCGTTTTTCTTTATATATTAAAGAGGCTGGGTGGTCGTGGCCATTTTTAGACTACTTTGATCTCCTCTAGAAGAAGAGCTCCATACAAAGATATAATAAAATGATCAAATTTTAAAATCAAAATTTATGAAATTTTTCTATGCCAAATGATAGTTGACAGCTTCAGATACCATATCCCAAAATTTAAGTTATATCTTGTGGTTAATAAGAAAATAATTTGTTGACCACCTAGCCTACTTAATTTCGATTTTCTTTATTTAATAATTGCGTTTCTCTTTATTTAATAATTTCGTTTTTCTTTATATATTAATTTCGTTTTTCTTTATTTAATTATTTCGTTTTCCTTTATTTAATAATTTCGTTTTTTCTTTATTTATTTTTAGTTTGCGCTATTGGGTTTCCGTTCACTTCTGACCGATTGTAGAATGATTGAGTGCTTTGATGTTAGTTTAAGGGAATGGATGCAAGAGATATCCCTCTATGAATAGATAGGAAACACATGTTTAACAAAGATGTGCATTTTACATTATCTATACCTCCATAAGTCCATCCAGAGAAGACACTTCCATCTTGATCACACACTTCCTTATCCACCTTCTGGTTAAGACGTTTAGAGGCGTCCACCACCACGACATAGAAAGCTCTTCTGGTCAGGTAAATCTGGTGACAGGCGTAGTACGCACACTGGCCCCCAAAGTCAAACAAAGTCAGAGTCTTCGGTTCAATATCTGTTGCCTTCTTTTCATTATTTCTGTTATCCATATAGCTTGTTCTTACTGAAAGCGTACTCAAATGTCTTATAAATAGTTGTCAAGTATCACCTTTTATTTTAAACATATTAGCTTTCAAAAATAATCAGCAGTTAAAGTTCCTTTAAAATATCAACAAGTGGGAATCAATCAGTATTGTTAAAAAGCATACTAGAACTAGTAATGTAATGTAATGTAAAGCATATAAACAATAATGCCAACAGTAAATCAAAATGGTTTTTCTCTAAACCTAGAACAGTCGCCTTTGAAGTTTATCGTAAAATTTAAATTTTAGGGAGGTCTTTTTTTCACAACCAAATTTTGAAAATTAAATGTTTTATTTAAGAAATCAAAGTTTTTCTTTTCATTTCTACATATATATATATGCATGCTTATATCAGTTCACCCTTTGCGCATGATCATAGTAAATATCGATGGATTCTTTACTTACCGTTGGACCTCATTTTTTTTTATGTTTTTTTCTCGTGTTTCATATTAATAAGAATAAATAAAAGGGGTCTTATTTTTTCCATATATTTTTCAATGACAAAAAGCTTTATAACATTTTAATAATCATCAGCCTTAACATCGTACCTTTCAGAGACTTTGTTTCTTCATATAATTCAAATATTTCCTCATGCACCTCCAACCCCTCAGTAGATTTTACTTTCTCAATCTCTTCGTCACTACAACCCTGCAGACGTTTAAGTAGCGTGGTTTTTCCGGCCCCGGCACATCCTACAATCATCCCCCGGGCGTGGTGGACTGTCTGTGTTCCTCTCTTAGCGTACTCCACATACCGCTCTCTGGCCTCCTGGTCCCATTTTAGTACTTCTCTAGGGACGCCTACTATTTAACAAAATACTACCAAAGGTTACATTTATCGTGAAACTAGTACATGTATTAATATTCATTGTTAGCTCATCTGAGTTTTTCTGACCAAATTTTTCCGTTGTTTGTCGTTGTCGTTCGGCATAGTATTCGTTTCCGTATTTGATTACATTTTTATCATCTTCTTCAGAACTTCTGGGCAAACTTCTGGGCCAATATCAAGCATAGTTATGATTGGTTTCAGTTATATGGAAGAATCTTCGTGTACTGGTAGTGTGGATTCATGTTTATAGGAAAGATCTTTAAAAATCAAAATTCTTCTTCTCAAAAACCAGTAGGTCAGAAAAGCTGTAACTTATGTTGAAGCATACTGGTGTATTGAAAATTCTAAAATTTTCAAGTCGTGATTCCCTGGGGGAAGGGATTAGCCACAATAGGTATTACAATGGGAGAGTTCATGTGAAGGACAACATTACATGTAACAGGTCCAAATTTACTCAGATGAGCGTTGTTGTCCATGAGTCTCTTGTGGAATATTTGTTTTAGGTGTATAATGTATTTGAAACTTAGATTATATACATATTAAAATAGTGACATGTATAAATACAACCGTGGTTACTTTGGTAGCAAGTCAGAGTGACAATCTGGAGGACGGGAGTTTGGTCACTGGTGTGGGTGATGTCAATACTAGTATTTCGTTAGAAATCAAGCCGTGCATTATTTCGGTTTTAAAAGTAAATTCTGTGTAGTCCGAAAAAAGTTGGGCATATTAATCATTTAGAGGCAAACAGACAAGAAGCATAATAATAAACTACAGTTAACTATTTTATATTCCATGCACTAGGCGCCTGTGAAACCATAGGCAAGCAGGAAAACTTTTGGAAATAAGTATAAGGAAGCAGGGGAGTCAACAAATTAACCATAAATTTACCACCAGGTTTAACTTATTTTTTTGATACAGTATCTTATGCTGTCAGCTATCATTTGGCAAAGAAAACAATCATACATTTTTGTTTAAAAATTTGATTATTTTTTGTATATCTTGATATGGAGCTCTTCTTTTAAAGGAGATCAAAATAGTTTGAAAATGGCTGCCACACCCAGCTTAGTTAATTTTTTTTTTCAAGGGGATGGGAGACATGTTTCAGAACATCACTTAAAATCGACGAGAATTAAAACACAGGATTAACATATCAACCTTATTAAAAAGATCTGTCTTTTAAGTTTTGTGAAATGATGAAAAACTTTCAGTTACTTAATACTTACAACGTTGACGGATCCTGTCATGAATCCTCCAGTCAGACACGGTACAGTGTGTGATGATGTCCAGCTGTAGTTTGTCTATGAGGTCGTTCATCTTCTTCGGCTCGCCCGGTACATACAGACATCTCTCTCCCTCACTTCTTTCATAATTCCAAGGATCGGCAGTATTCTGACATCACGTCACGTGACGCCGTGGTCAGGAAAAACTCCAGATCACTGTCCTCAACCAGACACTCCGTAACAAAGGCGTACATGACGTCATGTCTGACGTCGTCTGATATAAAGCATATCACACTTTCACGAGTTTCTGTGATTCCATCAGGAAGTTCTACCACGCCCTCTACAGTCGTACCAGGGAAATATCTGTCTCTGATTTTGTGTCTTGTGCTGTTGTGGGATTTTACATTGAGATTCAGCTGATATTTCTCAATTAACAGTAAAGAATACAGTAGACACCTGACATCCGGTGGATTTATAAGATATTCACCTAAAACAAGGCAAAGAAAGGTCAAGAACATACAAGATATACATGTACTTGTCTATTTATAGAAGGTTTATTTGTTCCAATATAAACAATATAATTGAAATATTTTTAAACACTACATGATCAAGTATTTCTATTAAAATATATCATGCAGAAAAACCTATAATATTTATTGTATAATGATGCTCAAACTTTCTTTATTAGCTAGGGCAAGGAGGAGGCATATCTAGATGGAATACTTTTGAACATCACTTACAGTACCCGCATCGTTATTCTTTACAATTCTATCGTGTTCTATCGTGCGTGTATCCTATCGTATCGTGCGTGTATCCTATCGTATCGTGCGTGTATCCTATCGTATCCTATCGTATCGTGTTTTCCGTTTATCAGGTTTTGCGTTTTTTATCGTGTTTTCCGTTTATCGTGTTTTGCGTTTATCGTGTAGATCGTTTATCAGGTTCTATCGTGTATCGTGTTTTGCGTTTATCGTGTATATTCGGAAACCCTCGATTTTTATCTTTTCTATGTAAAGAAACTACTGAGCTATTCCGAGTTTCTTTTTCGTTTTGTTAATAAAAATAAGATTAATTCAACCGTAAAAGAGAAAATAAAGATTTCTCCCTTTCTTTTTCATCAATATAAGAAATATTAAAGCGTAGAAGGAAAAAAATAATTAATCGCGTATTTCATGAATGAATAAATTGATTTATTAATAAATAATTAATTAAATAAATAAAATAATTATTAAATAAATAAAATAATTATATCATGGTAAAGCAGAGAGTAACTGTCAAAATTTAAACAGTAACTCTATTTTTCGGAAATGAAATTATAAGTAGATCGATCAACTGGTCTATTTCTTTCAAAAATAATTTATCGAATTATATGATTTATTTTGTCAAAATTAAATACTACTAATATGATTTTCTCAAATGAATCGGAGTTACCGGAGAAAGATTTTTGGTAAGTTATGATGTTTGCGTAGACAAAAAGCAAATAAATAAATAATAAGCAGCATATTGAAATGTATCTTTTTATCATGCAATATTCTGTTTTCCCTTGTTTATCGCCTGATTACGTTAGAAATATGTTTACGCGTCTGACCTGCATGTATGCACAATTATTTAAAGTCTTGATGTTACAAATATAATATAACATAAGACAATGATCCAGATGATTTTAACAACGATTTTGGCCGTATACGTTCAAATTTTAAATTTATTTCTTTAAAGCTAGTTATAAATTCCTCCACATATGTCTTAATTAATAAAAGAAATCAAAATCATAAAATATAATCAATGAAAATATTCTACCCAATTTATCACACCATGGCTGTTACTATAAAATAGAAGATTTTCATTAATTTTATCTGGCATTAGATAACATAAAAATAATACATGTACAGGGGGAAACATGAAGTTTTTTAACAGCTTACCTTTTCGGCGTGGAAATAAACTCAAAATATAATCCATCGGGATGGCAAAAATCAAAATAAATCGAAGACCTTTCCTTACAAGAAAACTGACACGTATGTGTAGCTCTTTAATTAGCACACTGTCTTCCTGTGCGGTCAACCACCCCCTCCCCCTTCTCCCCTAACTGACACCTCGGCCCGTGTGTGTGTGATCACCGTCAACATACCTGTACTGATTTCTCACCTGGGGTCAATTAGTAACCTCGAATACTACCTGGTTCTAATGAAACGCATCTACTTATTTTTGAGATTTTGTTCCTAACTTGTTTGAACAATTTTATCAAAGATTTAATTCAAAATACATTAAATAATTGTACGATTTATGGATTAAAAAATCATCTTGAATGTTAAATAAAAATTCAAATAAATCAATTTCATGAAATGAAGTCCCTAAACTCACTCCGTTGATTCTTTTTCATTTCGTACAATGTTTCCATTATGTTTATGTAAAAAAGTCTTTTAATAAACATAAAAAAATATACTGCACTTATGGTACGTGCACTTTCGGGTCATAGGGTTTTCTACGTAAAACAGACAAAATTTATTCTAGGAAACAATTTCATTGATCGTAGAAACGGATGAAATAGTTCATTCTAAACTATGAAAATTAGTTCGCAATATTTTTTAACGGTATCTTACTATAAAAATAAAACAAAAGGAGTCGTCTGATCCGCCGTGACCATGCAAGACTAATAAATACACCGAATCAATTTATTGTATTAATCGATTTTATTCCATACGTATGTAACTTTATTTAAGAACTCAATATCATATTTGGCTATTTGGTTAGATCTTGTTTATCTAAATTTAAATTGGTTGGGACTTTCAAAATACCGCCCTTCGAATATGCCTAATATGAGATTACCGGGTCAGTGTAAAATGATTTTTAAGGTTTAATAATTCATTTGCCGAATTAAACATATTTTTCGTTATTATTAGAAACAGTACACAAAGAGTTTAATAGCAATGATTTATAATTATTTAGTCGGAAAAGTCGCATTTCACTCTTTTAATAATTGTTAATTAATTTTTCTGTTTTGTATTGTAAAGAAGAAAGTATTTAACCATTCAATGTTCGTTAATTAATACGAGGTTTAAGTATCTGTAATGTAAAATGTTTACATGTACATAAGTCAGAGCTTAGCGTAAACGTACATGTGCAGTTGTAGCAGATCCATATTCTCATGACACAGTTTACATGTATTAATGCAGATCGCCATTATCTTAATAATTATTAAGATTTCTATTCAGAAAATTTAATTTTCTTGAAGTGTTTCGTTCTTGATAGATCTATCATGTTAAATTTATTAATTTTGTTAAAGCCGTTTTCTTTAAACCTTTCTTTCGGCCGGTCTTCTTCTTGTATTATTTTCTACGATATTAATATTTAATTGCGATTTTTGGATATATCACAGATTGTAAGCTTTAGACATTCAATACAAATATTTAATTTATTGCGTAAATTTCTTCCGTGAAATAACTTGGTACTTGTAGATAAATTTATTAGATAGAAAATTAAAATGTATATTTCTCATAAAAAATAAATCTGTTTATAGAGTTTCAAAATTCACACACTTGAGAAGAAATTTAAAAAAAATACAGTCTCCATTTCATAAAAATCCATTTAATCACTGTAATTGTTTCTTTTTATAATAATTAAATGTACTTTATAGTTTAGATTTGAAGCTCTGCGAATATTTAAATAAAAATATACTCTAATTTAAATAATCTTTAATCTTTAAATTTAATTGAAAATAATCTTTTCGTCTTGTCAAAAAACGTTCCGCATTTTGGAACAATCCTATCAGGTTTTGCGTTTATCCTATCGTGTAGATCGTTTATCGTGTCTATCGTGTTTTGCGTTTATCGTGTTTTGCGTGTATCGTGTTTTGCGTTTATCGTGTTTTGTGTTTATCCTATCGTGCGTGTATCCTGTCCTATCGTGCGTGTATCCTATCGTATCGTGCGTGTATCCTATCGTATCGTGCGTGTATCCTATCGTATCGTGTATCCTGTAAGGAATAACGATGCGGGTACTGTATTAATGAATAAGAAACACATAGAAACAACACGCATTTATTTTTTAATCGAGCGATCTTTGTTTCTTTGAGAGAGACTAATTACAAGGGAAAAAGGTTTTTCATTGAGATAATTAATGAGATAATTTTTCGTCCAGAACATGATTATTCTATAAAGTTTATAGATATATTTATATTTCTCCTTATAATGCCTTAAGTTAATGATTGTTTTTATATCTCATACATGTACATACATTTATTTCTTTTAAATCCTCTATTAATTTACCGATTCTCGTTCATTAACTGCTCAATAGACTGGGACTGTATACAAGGAAAATCTCTTTTTTTTTATTTTTGCCCGCGTTCACCCTTCCCTTATTTGGGCGAATTTAAAATTGGGCGAAAATCAATCAAATAATACCGTATACGATCTTTAATGAAACTATTTAAAACGGTGCAAAATTGTTTGCAACTGTGAAAAGGCGTACTAAATAAAACGGGGCGAAAATAACCGTGTGTACAGTAGTTATATCCCCCATCGCCGCTTAAAAAAGTTTGAGGGTGTGTAGTGATAGAGAAGTCTGCCTGTACGTCCGTCCGGTTTCTTGTACGTAACCGGATAAATGAAAGTGTCTATGTAAAGACTATGTATATTACAAGTTCAAAATCGAATAAAATATCATTATATCTAGTATCTACTTGCTTGGTTTTCTGTAAGGTTTGTTGTCGATGATGTAAATGTCCCAGTGTGGATGTAGACCTATACAGGATCTCACGATATCAGGTCTCCAGCCACTCCAGAGCCACGTCACGTGATCTACACTCTCTTGCGATCTTCTTCTTAAATGTACAGCCTCCCCTTTATTTCTCAGATTCATTAAAAATTGTGCTCGTTTATCACTGTCCTTAAGTATGTTTTCTGGGATATCCACTGCCAAAGAAAATGAATAATATATATAATCATACATAGAAATATTATCCCTAATAAGAACGAATTAAGAACTATTAAACAATACAATTATCAGTTTTAAAACAAATACTCACTGTTTATAACATAAATGTACCTGACATTGACCAATATCTCCCATAGAAAAATCCAATTAATACACTTTAATGTG